GAATACGATATATGATTCAAAACAAGACTGTAAATTTTCGAGTTTATTTCAATTTTCGACTTTATTTCAAAGTCGAAAATTTATGAAATAACAGTCTCAACCTGCGTCTTGTTTTGAGTTATATATTGGACTCTCATAATGTCTTGTCCTTTCGGAATTTGTTTTTTACTTACTTTTTAAAATTCTCGGCTGGTTATTGTTTTTAGAATGAAAATTGATACAAGTTAAAAATTTTATGTTTAGACATGGACATTTTAACATTACACCTAGCTATAATCGACACGCGAAACGTATTGGGTTGGCTAATTTTAATAAAATAAAAAAATGCTCACAAAAATGTATTGCCAAATCATCAAACGTACACCCACCGTTCAATATTATAGCTAATTGGTGGGTTTTTTAAAATATACCAACATTGATTTGGGGGGGGGGGGTGTGTTAATGATTCATTTAATTTATAACTCTGGTGAGGAACTTTTCATGCGCCGAACCTAATGCAAACGAAGTGAAACAAAGAACTTACCTCATCAACATTAGGTTCAGCCATAGTTGAAAAGTTCAACGTTTGACCCTGGCCTAACTTCTAAAATCTGTCTTACGTCATTTTGCACGCGATTGGATAATAATTTATAATTGCACTCTTCTACCTAAAATCTGTACTTATTCTGATAGTTTGATAATATAATTGCACTCTTTTACGTAAAATCTGTACTAACTGATCGCGTAAAGTATGAGAGTAAAACGTCATTGGCTTGATGAAACTTTAGTATCCACCCATCCGTTTGATCATAGTCAATAGAAATAAACATATATAGTTACGAAGGCCGGTAAACTTCAAAGAATTTCCTATTCAAACTTCAACTGATGTTGAAATGTAATTCCGAGTGCACACATCTTTTGTCTTGCGTTTATTAATATTCAAATATTATGCTTCAGCGATTGAAACTAAGGTTTTTCGCGTCATTATACAGAATCCGAGTGCACAAATTTCCATAAACTTGGACAAAACCATGGAACGATGACTTTTGTCAAGCTTCCAAAGTAGACCAAACCATGTTTATTTTCTAACAACTGGTTTGATGGAGATAATAAAAAAGCCTCCGTAAAATGAAATATTTCTTCTTTAAAGCAAGTGAAAGTCATATGTTGGCTTCCATTATTGTTATAGCTGTTTTTTCAAGTTTCAGGGGTTGAAATTTCAACTTCACTCCAAATTTCAGGAATACTAATGATTTCTTCCGCCACAGAATAGGCTACATCGAAGCCCGACTTGTTGGTTTTTCCTATGATTTTCCAATTATTTTGGCGTAACTGTAATTCATCATCAAAATGCTGACGTCATGGTCCTTGCCAGTGCGCGTTTGAGAGGCATTCGCCTCCCTGATAACATTCAAAATTGGGGACGTCCGGAGGGGGGGAGGGAATTCTTCTCATAAGCGCACTGGCTAGGACCGTTTTGATGATGAATCATGGCGTATTGCAGCGGTTACTCGAGTCGACCTTCTGTATGTCTTTGTTCTGTGCCTCCGCTTCCCTCGGCGGAACTGCGTTTCGTCTGGCGTCAAAATTGGGAACGTTGAGCAACGCGTACAGTCATTGATCTCAAAACTAGGACTGGTTGCAGCAACCTTTTTACCAGAATATTTGTAATGCTCGAGGAGAGATTTTTAATTCAGGGAATTAATGTTGAAGCCAGAATATTTCTAATGGGGAGAGATTTTTAATTCATGGAATTAATGTTGAAGCCAGAATATTTCTAATGAGGAGAGATTTTTAATTCAGGGAATTAATGTTGAAGCCAGAATATTTCTAATGAGTAGATATTTTTAATTCATGGAATTAATGTTGAAGCCAGAATATTTGTAATGAGGAGAGATTTTTAATTCAGGAATTTACTTTAATTTAATTTAATTTAATAACTTTGCCGTAATATAAATTACAGATTCTGGCAGGGTTCCCACAACAGCATAACGCCAATTACTGCGGGCCCAATAATAATATCTAACAAACAATGACAAATTAACAGTTAGACAACTAAACAAGTATGCATGCAAACCAACAAACTTACGTTCTATAGCGCACTACAAAAATTAATGTATTAATAACAACAAGACGCTAGATATGCAAGACTACGCACAGAGTTGCATTTAAGATATATAGTTTTAAGTGTTCGAGAATTATCAGGGTCATAATTGAGCTCTAATGACTGATAATAGTATTTTAATAAAGTTCTTTTGAAAACGCTAAGGCTGTCCGTGTCGAAATGAAGTTCATCAACAAGTCCGTTCCGTAGACGACAAGCTCTTACAAAGAATGATTGTTGGTAGGTAGTGGTTTTGCTTTTACGTATAACATATTTCACGGTGTTGTTGGATGACGATCGTGTCGTTCGGTGTGTTACACGGGTGACGGGAAGAGCAGACGTTTCTGCGAGGCCATGGGTGATTTTAAAGAAGAGGGTCAAGTCTAGATATTCGTGCCAGTATGATACAGGAAGAAGATGAAGGGAAATTAATCTTGTCCTATAGTCCACGTCTGTCGAAAATGGCAAATTTAAAATGAATTTTGTTGCGCGTCTCTGAGTTCTTTCCAACATGTTGATGAGATCAATCGCCTGTGGTGCCCAAATCTGTGATCCATAGCCGAAATGAGAGCGAGCAAGTGCAAGATACATTGTGTGACTGTGTGTTGTTATGTGTGTGTCTCTATTATTATGGTGTATAAAAATTTAGATCAATTATGTAAAATTTCGCTGAAAAGCCTTTTAAGGGATGTGAAATTAAAATACAATAACAATCGTCTTGGTGATATATCTGTCACAAACATAGTGTTTCTTCTGATGTAGCCCAGTAGTTTACCTGCTTTCGACACTTGTTGGCGTACTTGCACTTTCCACGTGAGGTTTGACGATACGCAAACTCCAAGATCCCTTTCGGTGTCCGTCGTATCCAGTTGCTGATCGTTCAACATGTAAGTTGACGTGATCGGTGTAATCTTCCTTGTTATTTGCTGCTGTTTAACTTCGATTCATTGAACGTCAAACCCGATATTGAAGACCAGTGTTCTAAGTGGCTGAGATCGTTTTGGAGTAACACCGCATCACTTTGACATTTGATCGCCGAGAATAGCTTCGTATCATCAGCAAACATTGCTACTCTGCTGGTTGTTACTAAATCAGGAAGGCCGTTGACATATAACAAAAACAGAACTGGTCCAAGGATGGAGCCTTGCGAGACACCTGATGATATAGGAAGTGTGTTCGATGTAGCGCCAAGTACTGTGACTCGCTGACGACGGCCGGTTAAATACGAAGAGAACCATTTCAGCAAGCTTCCTCCATAGCCGAAATTCCTCAATTTGTTAATTAGTTTTCTGTGATTGATCCGATCAAAAGCTTTAGTCATATCGAGATAGATAGTATCGACCTGTCCTCCATTGTGCAGAATCCTACCAATGTAGTCAAATACTTCCAATAGGTTTGTGACACACGATTTACCTTGAAGAAAGCCGTGCTGACACTTGTTTATAATTTGGGATAGGTGATATTTGATGCTCACGAGTACTCTGCGTTCTAGGACTTTCGAAACGATCGAAAACAATGAGATGGGCCTGTAGTTTTCGGGCAGACCTTTATCCCCTTTTTTATGTACAGGTACAACATTTGTTAGCTTCCATTCTTCCGGAACTGTTACAAGACGTAATGATTTATTGAATGATTTACAAAGAGAGGGAACAATAATGGGGGCAGTTACTTTGAGTAGCCTTGCTGGGATTCCATCAGGTCCGGTTGCTTTGTTGCTGTCGAGGGTCTTAAGCATATGTTCGACTTCAAGTTCGCTTATTAATTAATTCAGTCATGTGCGAGTCTGTACTTGATTCTTCAGATGAATCAGGTAGGTTGTCAGTTGTAAACACCGATGCGAAATAAGTGTTGAACATTTCGGCTATTTCAGCATGCTTCGTGGCTGTTGGTCTATCTGAAGATGGATCAACTTGGTCGGTAGAGCTGGATGGTGCAGGCATAGAGATGCAATCTGGGATACCGCATTTTTTTTTTACTTCTGTTTCATCACTGACCAAAAGCGTTCTGGATTGTTTGCGTAGCTGTCGTTGATCGAAGAGAAAAAGTTCTCACGGCTTTCGCGAAGTAATCGTTTGACTTCGGAACGCATTTTCCTGTATTTTTCTTGCAGGTGTAGAGTGGGATTTGCTTTCAATTTCCTTCGAATGGTCTCCTTTTTCTTTATTTGGTGGAGAATACTGCCGTTGATCCATAGCAGCGGGTTCCGTCCTCGAATTTTCTTTTTTGGAATGTGTTCCAAAACGGTAGACAGAAAAGACTCCTTCCAACGCTCCCAGTCGGCATTTATATCGTCAGATGACTCCGATATGGTTGAGGACAAATCAATCTCCCCCAAGGCAGCACACAGAGCGTGCATGTCGCCCTTCGTATAGTCATATATGGTTCTTGCAGACTTTCTAGATCGTTTGATAAAAACCGAGTAATCGAACGAGATCGTATGATGGTCGGTGGACACGGATGTTTCTTCTGGAGACAATATTTGCGTCAGGCTAACGTGATCGGGAGTATTTGTTATAACAAGGTCCAGAATGTTATTTCCTCGTGTCGGAGTGTTGTTTAGCTGGGATCAGTAGTGGTCGTTCAGCAACCGTACGAAGACGAGTTCGTTGGCACCAGTTGTGTTCTCCATCGCGTCCCAGTGGATGTTTGGAAGATTGAAATCAACAGTAATTATGATATTTTCATAAAGGTCAAAGATGGTTTGCAAATAGGTCTTAAACCTGTCCATCCAACATTGGTCAGCATCTGGAGGGCGATAACAACAGCAGTAAAGTAATTTCTTATTGGTCACTGTTCGTAACTCGTTGAAAGAATCCGTTCAGTTTTACAGCTATAAGTACAGCGCCACCACTTCGCCCTTTACGATCTTTCCTGAAGATGGAAAACCCGGGATGCAGAATTTCTTGATCACATACTGTGCCATTCAGCCATGTCTCATTCACGCAGATTACATAAGAGTTCTCGTTATAAACAAGGTCTTGAAAGCGCTGAAAATTACAAACAATTAAGTTAGACTGTTCGAATTAATGTTGAAGCCAGAATATTTCTAATGAGAAGAGATTTTTAATTCAGGGAATTAATGTTGAAGCCAGAATATTTCTAATGAGGAGAGACTTTTAATTCAGGGAATTAATTTTGAAGCCAGAATATTTCTAATGAGGAGAGATTTTTAATTCAGGGAATTAATGTTGAAGCCAGAATATTTCTAATGAGGAGAGATTTTTAATTCAGGGAATTAATGTTGAAGTCAGAATATTTCTAATGAGGAGAGATTTTTAATTCAGGGATTTAATGTTGAAGCCAGAATATTTCTAATGAATAGAGATTTTTAATTCAGGGAATTAATGTTGAAGCCAGAATATTTCTAATGAGGAGAGATTTTTAATTCAGGGAATTAATGTTGAAGCTAGAATATTTCTAATGAGGAGAGATTTTTAATTCATGGAATTAATGTTGAAGCCAGAATATTTCTAATGAGGAGAGATTTTTAATTCAGGGAATTAATGTTGAAGCCAGAATATTTCTAATGAGGAGAGATTTTTAATTCAGGGAATTAATGTTGAAGCCAGAATATTTCTAATGAGGAGAGATTTTTAAAGCTGTCACATTTCTTACGATCGTTACGTGTTTAATTTAAATTATTTGTGCTATCACACAAACATCTTCTGTAAGAAATTGAAAGATTTGCCTTCCCACCCCTCAATTAATGAGCTTTAGAATGTTTTAAACATGAGATAATAGGAAGAGTTTATCTCGCTGGCCTCAGAGTGACAAAACGTAACAAAGCAACGATTTTACTAATACTAACCCTATTCCAAACAACTCTAACCCCAACCCTAACCTAATCCTAACCTCTAATCCCTAAAGCTGATGACCATTTTTTTAATAATCAGTTTATTTCAAACTCAACGTTTGCCGATAAAAGGCAGTCTAGTTTTCATAGAATTAGACAAATATGATAGCGATAACAAATTCATTAAAGAATGAAGTTTCGAAGTCATCTTGACCTCATTTTCAACTTCAAATTATTACAGAAATGTATTGAAAATGATTAGTTGCAAGGGATGAACCAGGCAGGAATCGTAATTGCTGGGCATTGATAATTATTATTATATTGAAAATGAGGTCAAGATGACTTCGAAACGTCGTTCTTTAATAAATTTGTTATCGCTATCATATTTTCTAAAATCTGTATCAAAACGTTTAGTTTTAATAACATTTTAAAACGTTTTGCGAAGCGTTTGTGGTTGAATTTCACGTTAATATATATATATATATATATATATATATATATATATATATATATATATATATATATATATATATATATATATATATATATATATATATATAGCTTAAGATTTTGGTTTACGAAACACAAACGGTGCTCAATACCATATAGATAGAGCGTAATATAGTTTTTCGTTTTACCTCAAAAAACCACAACAGTCTGTTTCATCCGTATAGGAATCATCAGGTGGTCCACCTATGATTGATGATTCCTATCATCAGGTGGTCCACCTATGATGATGATTCCTATACGGATGAAACAGACTGTTGTGGTTTTTTGAGGTAAAACGAAAAACTATATATATATATATATATATATATACATACAGGGTGTATCAAAATAAACGCAATTCATCTTTTGTGCTTAATAACTTTCGAAATACTATTTCTAAACGCTTTTAGGCTTACTTCAAAGCCTGTTCTTTTCTCTTTCAAACAAACTATTATCATTGTCTCCGATGCTAGTAATAATTGCACAGGAAAAGATTTAGTAAAA